TAGGTTTGTCTGGGTTTTTAGACTTCGTTTCTTTCCACAAGGAAGTCCTTTATCCGATTCTGTATGAACTTTTAATGTAGAAGGTCACAATAATATGAAATTCAAATTTAAAAAAAAGACTGATAAGCTCTAAACTTATAATCCCTGAAAAGTCCCTTGAACGATGCAATGGAAAGCTAAATGAATTTACATTCCGTGCCAAATTCGTTGGAAATTTCATCCGCAACTTTTTTATTTAATTGCGAATCAATTCGTGTTTCAACTGTAAAATTACACCAAAACTACTAAAAAAAAACGAAGTAATCACTGCTTGACGCAATCAAAAATTGGGAAAAATTAAACTGTTTCCACTGAAAAGCATCACGTTTTTCTAGGCAACTCAATTTTTTTCCTCGATAACCAACTCATCAGACGATCAAAGATTCTAATCACTTTGAAATATGATCCTGACGGAATGTTTTCCTACAACGACGTATTATTATTTTTTTCATAGAGAATTTTTCGAGTCCATTATCCGAAGCAGGTTCCAATAATCAACACAAACGGCAGCATGAGATTTTTTTTTTTCAAAAAGTTCATTAAGCGAGGTATCCTTTCTCCAGGATATTACTGTATCAGAACTATGCTTTTACAAAGCCTTCCATTAAAATTCTTAGTGAAATTGTACTTGACATGTCGGCTGCTACAGCAATCACCAAAATGTATGCGAAAGTTTTAGTTTTCAGCTTTGTCAGGCATGCTTGGTTTTCGTGTTACGCAGTACTGTATTGTACTTGGAAAATGAAATACGTGCTCTTTGATCCGATTATTTTCTCGTATTTTTACTCTCTTCCAAAAGAGTATTTTGCCAAAGTTGTCGTACTTTCGCAAAAACTCGTAAGCTAGCGCCACAATGTATTCAGATTTTCTTTGTCGCCTTTTTCTACTTCCTTCGTAATATCGAGAGAATTGATGCACATTACGGTCTTATCAAATTCCAAAATTTCACACCGAGGTTTGCAAGTACTGTAAAACAAAAATCACGTTTCAATTCAAGTCAAAATTCTTCGATTTCAAATGGACAAAGTACTGTACATCATAATATTTGTATTTCTGCATGCTGTAAAACAGTATTTTTCAACCGGTTGTACTCAAGAACATCAATTAGTCAACTTATGCGTGTAAACGTCCTTGCCGATGACTTGAGCCGAAATCAGCCAAAGCTGGGTTCGGGTGAATTATTTACATAATATTGTTTATGAAACTTGTAACAGTTTAATTTTACTATGTAAAAATGGCTTATTTACTGTTGAGCCGTGAATGACAAACAAATGAACCCTGACGTATCTGGTACTTCAGTTGGTACGATAAAATTGGGTCATCTTTGAAGGGCTACAATTCTCAGAAAAGGCAGGGAAGCCCTGCACCACATTTTCCGTGATAGTTCACGCAAGAAATGGGGTTATTGAAAACAGGAAAATGGTTTTCAACGACACTCCGCTCCAAGAAAACCTTTTTCTCATTGTTGAAAAAAGCAATAATTCGGCTATCAACGCAGAAAGGCAGATTAATGTATATTTATGCATTTATCAAATTCGTAAATTATTGACGTTTGTGTATCGCAAAAACTCCCTGACTTTCAGGAAACCCCTGGCATATGTAGAGCAATCTCCCCTCTTTAAAAAAAAGCAACAATTTGTGCAGCAATGCAGAGAGGCAGACGAAAGCTGTGCTTTATGCATTTATGAAGCACATACAATGACTGTATTGATGTTTGCATATCGAACAAACTCCCTGACTTTCAGAAAACCCCTCACATGTACATTATCTCTTTCTTGTAAAGAGCAACAAATTTGTGTAGCAGTTCTGAAAGGCAGATTAATGATGTGCTCTCATCCTTTATCAACTGTATAAAATTATTGACCTTTGCATATACAGTAGAATAAACTTCCTGACTTTCAGAAAACCCCTCAAATGTGCAGGATGTCTTTCTTTAAAATAAATACAATTTGTGCAACAGTTGTGAAAGGCAGATTACTGTACTTCTGTGCCCTCATGCATTTATCAAGTGCATACAATTACAGTATTGACATTTGTTTATTTAAACGAGCATGTTTTTTCATGGAGTCCATTATCCGAAGCAGATTCCACTATTCAACAAAAGCGTGTTTGGCAGCCTGAGATATTTTTGCACGAAGTTCATTAATTGTATTTTTTTTAAATATAACAGGTTTTTCAGCAGTTTTAAAAGGCAGGTTTATGTTGTGCCCTCATGCATTTATCAAGTGCATAAAATTATTGACGTTGGTTCATAGAACAAATTCCCTGACTTTGTGGAAACCCCTCGCATGTACAGCATTTCCTTCTTTAAAACAGATAGAATTTGTGCAGCAGTTCAAAAAGACAGATTAATGCTGTGCTCTCATGCATTTATCAAGTCCATATAATTATTGGCATTTTGGTTTATAGAACAAACTCCCTGACTTTCAGGAAACCCCTCGCATGTACAGCATTTCCTTCTTTAAAACAAATACAATTTGTGCCGCAGTTCAAAAAGGCTGATTAATGCTGTGCCCTCATGCATTTATCAAGTCCATATAATTATTGACATTGGTTTATAGAACAAATCCCCTGACTTCGAGGAAACCCCTCGCATGTACAGCATTTCCTTCTTTAAAACAAATAGAATTTGTGCAGCAGTTCAAAAAGACAGATTAATGCTGTGCCCTCATGCATTTATCAAGTCCATATAATTATTGCCGTTGGTTTATAGAACAAACTCCCTGACTTTCAGGAAACCCCTCGCATTTACAGAATTTCCTTCTTTAAAACAAATACAATTTGTGCAGCAGTTCAAAAAGACAGATTAATGCTGTGCCCTCATGCATTTATCAAGTGCATAAAATTATTGACGTTGGTTTATAGAACAAATCCCCTGACTTTGAGGAAACCCCTCGCATTTACAGCATTTCCTTCTGTAAAACAAATAGAATTTGTGCAGCAGTTCAAAAAGACAGATTAATGCTGTGCCCTCATGCATTTATCAAGTCCATATAATTATTGACATTGGTTTATAGAACAAATTCCCTGACTTTGAGGAAACCCCTCGCATGTACAGCATTTCCTTCTTTAAAACAAATACGATTTTTGCAGTAGTTCAAAAAGACAGATTAATGCTGTGCCCTCATGCATTAATCAAGTGCATACAATTATTGACGTTTGTTCATGCTTGTAGAACAACTTCCCTGACTTTGAGGAAACCCCTCGTATGTACAGTATCTCTTTCTTCCAAAGTGTTTATTTAAAAAGAAAATCCCTGTTTCGAGCTGGAAGGCACGGTTGTGCGAGTGAAGGGATCCACTGCGCTTTGCCGTCAGGTGCTGGTTGTTGGTGTTGGCAGTGTACGTGTTGAGGAAAAGAGAGAGGGTGTCTGTCTCCAGTGACGCGAGTAATGTAATTATATGTATTTTTTTTATGCATTTCTTTTGTTTTACCATGTGTTCCATCGTGTGCACTTTCGAAAGAATGGTGCGTGTGTGAGCGTGGAATGTAATTCGGCGCTCGTGTAATTCGAAGTGGGTTCGGCGGGATAATCGTTTTAAGGCGGCTGATCGTAAGAGGGGTTTTCGGTTGCCGTCACAACGTGGAAAAAAAAAAAAAGAGACGAAACTGTACTTTGTACTTTGGGAGCCGTGGAAGTACTGCAGAAGAGCAAGAATTATTTTTTTTTTTGGGTCTCATTTCTCATTGTTGTAATGCGCGGATCCGAGAACCAAAGATGGGAACAAGGTTTTCTAAATTTGATTGTTGGTGGGACCCGCTTATTTTTCGGAGGGATTTCTGGCACTATACTGTGAAAGTCGCCATTCCTCATTGAAGGGATTTTTTTTTTCTGAAGATGGGGAGAAAACTAGGGTGTATTTTTCTCCTTCGTAGGCCATGCATTCTAAAATGAATGCAAAATACGTATGTGATCGTCATTCGACGACAGTATTCACGAAAGCATCGGGATTTTCACCCGAAGGATTTCCGCGGTTATGATCTGATTTTCAAGTCCCCGATTTTCCTGGAAAGGTGGTAAAAAATATGGCCATGACTGATTAAAAAAAAAGGAAATTCGCTTTACAACAGCAAGGAAATATAAAATTCCTTTAATTTAAATCATGTTTAGAGAAATGTCCATAATGCAAGAAGTACGTTAACCGAGTAATCCAACACTGTAAAAGTGGTCAATTTTTTTCACACTCCCTCGAAAAGTTCNCACTCCCTCGAAAAGTTCCGCAGTTAATAACTATAATGTGAAGATATCGTAAATAAAATGTGTAATTGGTTCCAGATTCATTTGTTCTTAGAATTCTTGATTACTTCCTAACTTGAAATATGAGAGCATGACGACAGCAATCATCCTCAACAAGGAAAGCAATACTCAACACAATTAACGATATTTCAAAAGGTTTCATCGTCTGTAAAAAAAAATAATAATCGTGGGTGGTAAAAATTTTTAGAATAACTTCCATTATTAAATGGACGATGATTTTTTACCAAGAGAATTAGCCGAAGGAACAATCGATCGCTTATTATGCTGAGTCTATTGTACGAAAAGTTAATCATGCCTTTGTACGACTGTTTTACCTTGGAATCCTTTTTTATCGATTTTTTTTCTTTGAAATTGTTTTCATGCGGAAAATGAGATACAGTACAATGTTTTCACAGCAATTTTTTTTCTTGTATCGCCTTCTTCCTGTTGATTTCAAAACTGAAATTTTTACGTTGAACCTATTCGAAGTAGAAAAAAATATATAATTTGAAAAGTTGTTCGTTTTATGCCTGAATCAAAATGCAGTTTTTTTTCTAAAATTCAGAATCAAATTGTAGTTTCTCCCCCAAGGAATTTGTTGGTTACATCATCCATCGAATCAGTCTCGTGAATATCCTACCTCGTCGTCCTGTTTTTGAACGCATTACAGTACGTAACTTGAATGGAGATTACGGTGGAATTATCGAGAAATGGGGTTTTTTCAGGTCGAATGAAAAAATGGAAAGGCAAGCGTCAGTTTTGCTTGAAGTCTGCGTTGATTCCATTCAATCAGCTGTAAATGCCGAAGCAGGAGGAGCCAATAGACTCGAACTCTGTCAAGCTTTGTCCGAAGGTGGCTTAACTCCTTCCGCGGGACTCCTTGCTGTTGTGAAGAAAGTCAGTGTATTTCGTTGTTGTTTCAAATGAAAAAAAAGGTTGTCTCGATTCCCGGAAGAATTTGAGAGAAAATCAAGTACAATTACAGCGAACGTTTGAATAATTTTTATATAGACTATTTTTAACGTTTTCAATCGTCAGTATGCGGATATGATTTGATGGTCAATTTTTTTTAGAAGCTCAATAGCACCCAAAACCTTGTTTTAGTATAAAGCATAGCTTGAAGTATCGTAATTTATTTGTGGGGGCAAAATGAATGTACAAATTTGTTCGAACCTCTGTATTATTTATTCATGGAAAATAAATTTCGCTGCGATTGGATTTTCTATATCGTTGAAATATCTTTCAAGAATATCTAACCTTCTTTAATTTAATACGGTAGTTTTCATTTATTCTTCAATACAGAATATTTTTCGAATATTAAAGCAGTTGCTCAGAGGATCACTTGAAAATCTTGGATGCATACGAAGTTTCATTTCGCAGTGAATTTACTGTACCATCGTCCCGTGATATTTTTCTGGTCACGTGATTTAGAAAAATGAAATTACTGTACATTAATGACGTACCAGAGAAAATTAAGGGACATAAACTATATTTTGAATAGATTTCCGTTAATGTTTATAAAACTAGAAAAAGTTTTCGAGTCCCATTCTCAAACGTTCGATGGAAAGTCCCAGAAAAGCGTAGCAAACATTTTGTGCAGAATGGTCAATTATTTTAGATTATGTGCGAATAAATGTTCGAAGCTCTTGATTTTTTTTGAGTTGGTACAGTAGTTGGAAGTACTGTAGCGATGAGAAAAGTTCCAGTTCACACTTAGAAAAATCTCTCTGAGCAACAGATACGTTTCATTGGAACTGACTCAAGCGAAAGTTATTAAAACCACGTTTAATTGTGACAACGTTAACAAAACCCCGTTCAACCATGATCAGAAAACTTTTTTCCAATTTATTTTATTGAAATGTGCGTGCTGTCGTTATAAACCTTGAAATTTGTCATCGCTCGAAAGGGAAAAATGAATGAACGAGGTACTAATTCAGTGACGTCAAAAATTGAAACGCTCAAGAAATACTTCAGCATTAACACTGTATTTTAAACTTCACGCGGAAACGGGACAACCTTCGTATTCGAAATCTGAGAAACAAAACGAAAGCAAAGCGTGATTTTCCTCTTCTTTTTTTTTTCTTAGGCAGTTTCAATCCCGGTATTTGTTCTCGTAAGACCTCGTCGAGGCGATTTCTTTTACTCCGATCCCGAGGTCGAAGCTATGGAAATCGACATTGAGCGTCTTTCCGAGGCTGACGGATTCGTTTTCGGAGCTCTGAAAGCAGACGGATCCGTGAACGAAAGCATTTGTCGTCGACTTTTGGCGAAATCTGACGGGAAACCCTGCGTTTTTCACAGAGCATTCGACGTTTCCTCTGGAGATGCGATTTTGGTTGCGAAACAAATCGCAGCCCTCGGGTTTGTCCGTTTGCTGACGAGCGGCAGAGCGAAAACTGCGGTTGAAGGAATTGAGACTATTCGGAAGTTGTTGAGAGAAAGTTCTGGAAACTTGGTTATTATGCCGGGTTCGGGCGTGAATCCCGGGAATGCGTCGATTTTCGCTAGTGTTGGATGCGAACAAGTGCATGCCTCCTGTAAAAGACCCGTGGGTTCTGCGATGGTTTTTCGGAATGAATGTTGTGCCATGGGGGACGAGGGTGAAGATGAATACACGCGTTTTGTGACTGAGGGGGATATTGTGAAGGAAATCGTGAATGCGTTGCGCTAAAAGTTCTATGGGGGAAAAGTTATTGTTTCAGATGAAGGAAATATATTCGCTTTCCTCGGTTTCTCTGACGAGTCGTGTGTGAAATCGATTTTTTTTTTTTTTTGCGGGCATTTCGTGTGAGGAAGAGTATTCAAGGGTTTTGGGTGTGTTTCTCATTTTCTTCTGCGGAGAGACAATTGAAACCAAAAATTATCTGCTTGAGTATATAATAATTTTGATGGAATTCAGTTGTTTTAACGGAATAACCCGTGAAGATGATACTCTGAAAATTACCCTAGTTTCTACCTTTTGGTTCGCCATTTCTCGAAAGAAGGAATGCAAATTATAGTTTTCTGAAAAACAATGTTTGAAGTTCGCCTTTAATTTTGCCGTACAGTACATTCCATTGAATTGAATAATTTTTAGAAGTTGGAGTATTTTACCGCGGAAGAATAATTTGAGCCCCTTTTCCAGCGCTTCCGATAAGCCCGAAAACTATCGAAAAGCGTAAATGAAATGATCACCAGTCTTGGAATGATTTAAGAAATTCTCTTTTTGCCAAACAGAGGAAATATTTCATTGTGCTCGGTATAATCGTTCTTTACACATTTTTGCGTAATTTTTATTGAATTGCAGTGGGTAAATATCTCGGGGATGCGATTAATTGTAGTTATATTTTTTCAGCGCCTCCGAATAAAAAAAATCGTAATTCGGAAATTAAATTATTTTCTAAGCAGAGTTTCCACTCGTCGAATGATTTAATAATTTATTCTCCTGTCCAAATGCAAAAAATCACGATAGTCAAAATCCAGCAACTAGGGAAATTTAAAATTTTATTCATTCATTTTGCTGAAGCAAGTTTATTCATTTTTGGCGATAAACTTCTGCCAATTTCTTTCAGTCGCAAAAATGCTCTTAATAATGTTTTCCCCTCTCGAAAATGAAATCACGATAATCAAAATCCAGCTATGGATGAAATTTAAAGTTTTATTTATTTACTTAGCTGAAGCAAGTTCATTCATTTTTGGCGAGAAACTTCTGCCAATTTCTATCACTCGCAAAAATGCTGGTCTTAGCCAAGTGATGCGATGTTTGGTTTAATTTGTGGTCTGCTTCTGGGATTTAAAAATAAATAAAATAGCAATCTCAACCCGAGCTTGAAAAACCATCTGACGTATTTGCTAGGAATGCACGGTTCTGCACAAACTTTGAAATGGCCATGATGGTCATACGGATGTAGAGAAAGCCCTGAAATTATACATCTTTGGAAAAGTGCCGGAGTGAATGTTAATGAAAATTCCAGTCAACAAGGGATCTTCGACTCTCCCGAAGATATCAACGATTTGAAATTACGCCACATTTTTGTGAACAATTTATGTTCGAGCTACTCTAACTTACCGTATTTTGTTGAACATTTCCTCGTGAACAAAAGTTGAAGGGAAGGGAAGGAACGAATACAGGTCGGAGAATGTATGCGCATATACAGTGGAGTAAATTCCTTTCTTCTCCCATGTTGTATTTGGATTATGCAATTAGATTCAAAAATTCCGAGCATTTCTTCGCATCAAAAAATGCTTCACTTGTGATGCGTATGCTTCGTTTCCAGAGCGCTCAAATGACTGATGATATTCTGTATTTTGGTTCATCAAAAGAACAACTTATAGTATTTGCTTGATGCAAATTTTTTTCAATGGACGTAGAAATTATTTCGTTACTGAGAAAGACTGATGTTATGTCAATTATGGTATTCATTTTTTTCAATTTTATTTTCTTTTTGTGGGTGAAGGTTTCACTTGAACCGTGATTCCCGCGCGTGAAAGCGGATGTCGGTGTTTTGAGAGCGATTAATTGTTCAAGGTATATATACATTGGGGTTCGATTTTGAGGGTTTTTCTTGCATGGATGGGATGCATGAGTGTTTTGGATGTGTGAGTTTGACATAATTTTTTTTTATAGAGAATGAAGAAAAGTGTTAGGATCATATTTTTTGGATTTTCTCTTCTTGGATTTCGTAAAAACGTAATCAAGGTCTTGCGTTTTAGCTTTTATTTATTTATGTTCAAATCGAGGAAATGAAATACAGTAGTATCGAGATAAAAGTTGAATTTTCGAAAAATTACGTATGTCTTGAATTTTTCGTTGCGTTTGCGGTAATAAACCAAGGATGGAAATAGAAAGCGGATTAATTGACAAAGGTTTTGTACTTTTCGCTAATAACAATCCGAATTCACTTTTCACTGCTAAAAGATGAAATTGTTCAGCTATAGATCATGCCTGTAATTTTTTCCCTTTCTTGTATAAAAAGAATTCACCTAGATTAGTTTTTTTTAAATATGTAGCACCAGGTTTTTGAAAAAAGTTCTGTAATGGAAACCCGATGAACACCTTTTCCAGTTATCCCCGTTTTCTGGGAATTTCGTAAATTGATTTTGTTATCCTCAATTATTGAGATGCGCGATTTCACAACAGTTGCAATATTCGTGCAGTCGTTGCGGATTACAAATACTGTGTGTTCTTCCTAAAAATACTATACACAAGATAATATTATCATCTTAAGAGTATTATCATAAAAATATTATCAATTGTAAAAATCATTTTGTGAACGGGAAGATGGGCATACTATTTTTTTTTTTTTTTTAGCTAAAAAGGCTTTGTCGAGGGTTTTGCGGTACATGATTTCTAATCCTTCTGTTTTTTTCAAAGCTAAGCGAAAAACTATATCGTATACTGTATTATTACGCTCAAGTTTCTTTGTCTATTTTTTTGTAAATACAGTAGCCTTATACTGTAAATACATTATTACTCCAATATCATGGTTGGCGTTGGTGTTTTTGCATGCAGATTCAGTGCGCTTGAGCAAATTCGGCCGTAGATGAAGTTTAGTGATGTGCATTTTGATTAATCATCGGAGTAGTGATCTAGTATTGATTGCTGTCCATGTTTGTTTTGGACTTCTTCTGATGTTTAATTCTTATATAACTACAGTACGGTGCATTTAATCAGAAAGCGGCTTCAAATTTTGTTATCGTCTTCAACGACGCCTTCAGGTGGTACAAATTAAATCGAATGACCTTTTAATATCACTGCGATTAGTTGATGTTTCAAGACCTGAAAGATTCAAGTATTTGACTTCATCTGTGGGCATCATCGATAAATTCTGGTTCATTTCAATGGATTTCGATATTAAATCGAATCATTTTTGTTGTTGTAACCGTTTAATACCATTGCAAGTACTGTAGCTGATATTTCAACAGTTGAAATGAGGGCAAAAGTCTTTACCTTCAGACAATTTGGTTTCACCGCCACGGCACTCGAAATAATCCAGGGCTTCTTTTTTTTCATCCGTCAAGAAAATGAAAGCAGTCGAACTTGAAGCACGGACGGGCAAAAAAAAAAATAAAACGAGCATTTTTGCTGTGTATAAATATAAAGAATTGCATGAAAATAAAATGTGTGATTTTTTTGTTTTTGAACTGCAGAATTAAGTAGTTGACGTGATGCTGAACTTTAAGGCAAGGGTTCATTTGTCCTATTAGTCTTTCACTTCTTTTCAAACACAACGTTGAAATTTATTGATTTTTTCCTCTCTGGGTCAATAAAATAAAAGCCAAAAAGTCTCTAGAAGATTCAAGTTATGTAAAGCTTTCGAGTTGTGGATTTTTTTTTAATGCGTCGTTTTTAAGGAAATTCAGACAGGAACTTTGAAAATATTTGACTTGGAGAGGTTCGAGTTATCGAGGTTCAACTGTAGTGAAAAAAAATGTAGTTGCGAGTCTAGTTTCCTGGTGGGTGGAACACTTCCTCTCTAATCTCTCGTCATGACGAGTGGAATAATTGAAATTATTCTATTTTTCTCTCCCCTCCGTTGGGATTGAATTTTTGCCGCGAAATCAGGGCATGGACCCGCACCTGGAGCTCCTGCTAGAAGACCTGCGGAACTCTGTTCACGAGCACTACCACGGCGCCGCGGAGCGCCGGCGACACCAGTCCAACGCATCCCAAGTGACCTTTGCCAACGGACCCGCATCCACGCCCAGGAAGCCGCCGAAAAGCCCCGACGTGACCCATTCCCGCAAACAGCCCATATTGAAGCACACCATGAGCGGATCCCGGGGAAACCTGTCTGAGCTCGACATGCTGCTCCAGGACTTGGAGCGAAAACAGCAACAGCAGCATCATCATCAACATCAACAGCAGCATCAGCATTCGCCGCAAGGGGCGTCTAGTTACAAGGCTAATGGACCCGTGGCGAAATCCGTGTTGATTAATGAGGATCACAATCGGAAGTATCAGGATTACAGCGATTACAAGAGGCCGGAAGTGGATTGTTTGTTGGAGGGGAGGAAAAAGGCGCCGGCGTCGTCGGCGACGCGGGAATTGGACGACTTGATGCAGTCGTTGTCGGATTTCAAGATGCAGCAGCACACTACGATAACCACGACGACGACGACTAGGGAATACGAGGTGGAGGATGACAGGGGTCAGAATTTGGACTCCATGCTGGGCTCGCTTCATGCGGACATGACGAGGTCAGTTCCGGGGGCGGGTTTCATTGCGGAAATTATCTTCATTACTGTACTGGATAAACTTGAATATCACGTGCACGTTTTCAATTTAAAAACTTGAGGGGAAAAGACAGAGAGTATGCGTCAAATGCGAGTATGAAGTTTTAAAAAAATTTTTAAAGTTGACGTTTGCATCATTCTAATGGAAATAATTTGAACCCATTTCAAGAAACAATTTAAGAATAATAAAATTTGTAATTTATTAAATTCAGGTTAAATTCAAGTCGAAGTTCGAACTCTGGTGTTTTATTTGTAAAAGAAATGTTCAAATTTGTTTTTTAATATGAATGGAGTCTCCGTTCTCCAAGCTAGGGTTTCATTCAAATTTCAGTCTGAAAAATCCTGGCGCACTTTTTTTTATTTTGGGGTGCGTGGTATTTGAGTAAATATTTTAAATTCAAATTTTATAGTTGCCAAACAACCGTGGGCAATTACAGTCAGGCTATTGTCATCGTATTCTCCAAGTATGGAAATATCAGGAAATGAACATCCTCGAATACCCGCTTTTTCTCTTTTAAAAATGCGGATACTGAAGTAAAACCACGAAGATTGGGATGGATTTCAGCAAGAAAAATTGCATTAAATGACAATCGTTGAAAAACAAATCCTGTAAAAGAAAAACAAATCGAATGCGAAATAAGGATGGTTATATGAAACTTCATTCATAATTGATTGTCATTGAACGGCCATTATTTCTCCATTTTATTTATCTTCATCAGTTTGTGCTCACAAATGCTATCCATGAATTCAAATATCCTGGCATGTCGTTCATGAGTTTTGATTCATAATTTTTGCCAGAAAACAAACAAAGAAATAAAGCACTGCATCTGGAAAATCAGGAATTAACATTGACGGCACATTTAAACTTGGATTCCATTTGAGGCCACAAAATGTTCGATTGCCAAATGCATTCATTTGTGTCTTCCACTGCTCAATGCTCCTGCTATCTTTTAGTAGGCTCTGTGCTGAAAAAAAATTATTTTTTGCTCAAATTCAGGAAATGGCATAAAAAAGCGCCATTTTTAAAAATCGATCATGCTTTAAAATCGTGTTAAATACATTGAGACCGGAAGAAAGGGGTTTTATAACGAAGAATTCATCATTAAGGGATTTAAATAACAATGTGGCTTATTGAGGAGCAACCTGAAAAAAAAATACCAAACTGTACTGTACGGTATATGTGTAGTACAGTGAGACCCCGAGATGCAGACGTAATTGGTGCATCAAAAGTGTCCCTAAGTCGAGTCTCATTTTCTCTTAGACTTACATTATAACATTTTAATTGGTGTTATATGGACAAAATACTCACTGTAATTCCATGAAAGTAAAAATTGTCTCCCAATTGAAACTGATTCAATCAATGTATTTCAACACAATATGGACGTTTGGGGAATTGAATACTGTACCTCTGCACAGTTTTCTACATAGAAATGTTGGCATTCTCTGTAAAAATGACATTCAAGTGAAAAGGAGAGAAGGAAGTCCCCTTCTGTGCTGGAGGTAATTTTTTTCAAATTAGCTGAACGGATGGTAAATTGGTGAGAGAAATGCCCAAGAACTTTTCTTGCATCAATTTTAGGGTTGGAAATGTCTGTTTCTTGTAATTTGGCCTGAAACTTATCTGCAATTTCATCCCAAAATGTCCCTATGTCAAGTCATTGTCCTCATGTTGGGCCTTTTTTATTAATTTGTTATGGGAAAATAAGTGTCCCTATGTCGAATTTCCCGCATGTGGGGGTCTCACTGTATTTATCTTCCTTGCTCAAATAATTGTCGAGATATGGAAATTTTAATATTGTACGCTTCCTTATTTATTTATTTTTTGTCTCTCAAGACAAGGGATAACGACGACGCAAAAGGGTTGCTGCCACGCCTGCTCCAAGCCGATCGTGGGCCAAGTGGTGACGGCCCTGGGCAAAACCTGGCACATGGAACACTTCACCTGCACCCACTGCAACCGGGAACTCGCCACGCAGAACTTCTTCGACCGCGACGGGAAACCCTATTGCGAACTCGACTACCACGACCTGTTCTCCCCTCGCTGCGCGTATTGCAACAAGCCGATTCTGGACAAATGCGTCACGGCCTTGGACCAAACCTGGCACCCGGACCACTTTTTCTGCCACCATTGCGGCAAGACCTTTGGGGACGAGGGGTTCCACGACAAGGACGGGAAGGCGTATTGCAGAGACGACTATTTCTTGTTGTTTGCCCCTCGTTGCGCCGGCTGCGCTCACCCAATCAAGGAGAATTACATCTCGGCGTTGAACGTGCAGTGGCACACTGAGTGCTTCGTGTGTCGAGACTGCGGACAGCCGTTTGTGGAGGGTTCGTTTTACGACCACGAGGGCATGCCGTATTGCGAGACGCATTATCACGCCAAACGGGGCTCGTTGTGCGCCGGGTGCCACAAACCCATTGCCGGGCGGTGCATCACGGCCATGTTTAGAAAGTACCACCCGGAGCACTTTGTGTGCTCGTTTTGCTTGAAGCAGTTGAACAAGGGCGTGTTTAAGGAAGAGGGCGACAAGCCGTATTGTCACGCTTGCTTTGAGAAATTGTTTGGGTGAGTGTGTCTCTTTTCTTTTTTTTTTCTTTTTTTCCTTTTTTTTTTTTTTTTTTTTTTTTTTTCTTCTTTCTCGTGTNGCCGCTATTTCTTCCAAAAGCGACGATAGATTCAATAATGGATTTATATTCTGCTGATGATCGTGGATGTTTAATAGATGCTTTATTCATTAATGAGCTTTTTTCTTGTTTTTTTTTTTCTTTTTCGTTTTTTTTTTTTTTTTTTTGGTCACCGAATTTTTTTTTTTTTTTTTGGAGTGGTGAATAAACGGGGAGCAAGCTTCTATAGTTGTGGGTGTTGATCAGCGATGGGTGAATCGAAGAAGGCGTTTTTTTTTGTGGGTTTTTTTTTTCAAGTCAGCAAATGGACCCTGAATACATTTTGTTATTCTTTTCTTATTATTATATTTGGAATTTAATGAAAGAGTGAGAGTCATCTCTCGAATTCGTGATTCGCAATTAATGTATTCACGTTTGATAAATTGAATATAATTTCGAATTTGGGAGAAATGATGTGATTATCCATCGATTTAGAAAGTTGCGAATTTGGGGTTTCAGCGATGGATGATGCAAACAATGTCATGTGTATTACGTCAGCGAACGGACTCTGAATAATTTGTTTTTTATTTCCTGAATTGATTGAAAATTAAATAGAGGAGTGATTCATCATCTTTCAAATTCGTGGTTCGCATTTGAAATATTCACGTTTGAAAGAGTGAACTTAAGTGAGGGTCATCTCTTGCATTTTATGAATTGAACAAAATTTCGATTTCGGAAGAAATGATGCGATTACATCGCTTCGGAATACTATACCTTCAAATGATGGGTTTCAGCGATGGGTGATTCAGTGTCTGACCCTGAATGAGGGTCAGACACTGCACATTCATAAGGTATATTTATTTAATTTAAATATTGTATTTATGATCGATTTGTTTTCACAAAGAAAAAAAACGACTTGCCTGCGGAGAATCCGTCGATTTGTGTCAAATATTTGATCTTGTTGAAACAAATTATGCCATATTGTTGAAGACCCTCCTGCTAGTAAGTATAATCGTATGATGCTGAATCCGAAAATTCTGAAGAAATCTTGGTAATGGAATCTTCGACAAATATTCACATTGTTCTTTTTATGAAACGAGATTCTTCGGTGAATTGCACCGAAAATTTCCTGACGAAAATTATTTATTTTTCGTCTTCTAAGGAACTGGTCGCAGATGTGTTTGATTTTTTTTCAGAAGTGTAGTGTATAATTTAGGCTTGAATATTTTTCATTTTCTGAGCTAAAATTGACTTCAATTCACGTCAGTTTTTTTTTTATGTGACGTGGAAAATCATCTAGTTTTGGATCTTCTTGACCTGAAAAAAAGATACTTTTTTGTTGCTTAACTTGGCTCACTGCGGAAACGAGTTGTTTCCGTTTATTTTAGTCGTGCTTCCGGGGAGAAAGAGAGAGAAAAAATGAAATGGTGAGAAACTTGGTTTTTGTGGAGAAAGAGAACTGACTGTGAAGGAACTCTGTGCCATGTTCCATTCAAACACGAGGAGCGTTCAAACATTTATCTCGGGAAATTATCTGACAAAAAAATCCTCTTCAAAATACACAATGCATTTTTTGTTGGCATTTCTTGAAATGAATCTCTTGACAATAGTTTCAGGAAGAACTCTTGGTCTTCCTCTTGTACGAACATGAATCAAGGTGACGATAAAAAAATATATTCCTTCATGATTCAGTAAATTATGAGTAAATACGTTTTCTCAGGGTGGATGAAATTACTTTTTCAGATGCAAAAAGTCAGCGGACAAATTAATTTATTCATGAATGCACGAGAACTTGGATTCTTAGCATAAATACCGAAGTTTGATTCTGATGCTGAGCATTATTTCATTTATTCTCCTGCATTTCTTACGTTATGATTTTTAAAGGAGGAATATTGTCGAATTTTACTCGCTGATCAAATTTTTTGTGAATTTCGATTTCGCGTTCGAGCCAATTTTATTTCCTCTCAGGGATGTTTCAGTGCATCCAAGGAAAAGCTGTTTTAATTTTCCCTTTGATTTGAATCTAGATGACACTTTCACTTTCTTTCTAATTTTAAGAAACGACGATGTTTTTCCTTGGATGTGAACTGGCATTTTGACACAAAGAAATATTTTGAACGCTCGTCGTGCGAGAGGGACGACGAATAGAAACAGTCGCAAATTCGTGGGAACTGAGGAAACGATGAGCCCCGTGATGGTGCTTTAGTAAGCTGACGTGCATCGAAACAATATATTGAATCGGAAAAAAAAGTAAAAAAAAAAACAATTTAATTTCTTGATTGTGTGAAAGACAGACTCGCGGGGGGAAAAGGGAAGGTTTCTTGAGACTTTTTTTTTTTCGTCGAGCGGTTTAACCCCTTTGCGTGACAGCGGTCGAAATTTTTCTCTCTTCGTATTTCTTATTGAAATGGCATAATGTTTTTTTCGTGGGTTTTTTTTTCTTTTGTGAAACAATTGAGCGGTGGTAATTCTTGTTTTAACGTTTGTAATGGCCTTTGTTCTGTTGTTCGGGTGAATGTGTTGTCTGCTGGATGACGGTGGGAAGTCTTGTTTGATGGGAGAGAAAGCGCGTGAGTTTCTCGTAAGCATTAATAAAGATGCGTTTATTCTGTTCTAAGCATTTCGTTGATTGATTCTGACTTTTAATTAATATATTTTCTGCAGCGTATATCCGTGAGAAAATGGGGCCGTTTAAAACGTACAGTACAGTACTTATGTAAGAAAACATGGTAGAAACTTGAGCGAGTATCTTAGGTGGACTGTACAATTCCTGGAAAAATTGCAATGTCAGTGAGATTCACTTCTCAAAACTGACATGGGTTGTTTGGGTAATGATTGTTTAGTATGAATAATGATTCAAAATTAAAATCAAAGGCAATGCCATTAAAATTTATTTTTGATTATTCTGTGATAATCTGAAAAGTTGGAAGCCACAATCTACAGATCATGCTGTGATCCCAAATCATGTCAGCCATGCAACTGTCTCTCTCTATTGTCTCTCTCTCTAAAACAGTCTTGTCTACAACAATTTTTTTTCACTTTAAGAAAAATGTTTACCCGTGCCTACGGTTCCCTTTCTGTTTTTTAGGGGATCTCCGCAAGAATTTTTTTCTGGTCCAGTAAATTTCATTTTAGAGAGAGTCCACTTGTATTCATTATCTGCCTCTTGCAATACCCATTAAATTATATTTTTTGTGCTTCAAAAAGTTCAGCAAAAGACATCCTGATGGTGACTTGAGTCACTGAACTTAGCCAGGCGTGTGCTTTTAATTTGAATTTAATTTATTGGAAGTGGGATTGCATTAAATCACATGCAGTAGAAATTTGTGATCATGTTACACCAAACTCATTTCATGGCGAATTATTTTCCAAGTCCCCTGAAGTGAAAATCATGACTGTTTTCACTTTGAACACAGGTAGGCTCTCTGCAACAATTTTCTTTCAAGAATGATTTTTTTGGGTCCCATGTGATTCTTCACACATATTATAGGGGTTCTCTGCAGCAAAGTTTTTTTGTTCTGTCCCCTTGAATTTTTTTGCAGAGATAGTTCACCTGTGTATCTTCTTGATATTTTTTATATTTATTCCAGGTCCCAATGGCTTTGTTGTGACAAGATTTTATTGTGGTGTAATCATGTTTCCTAGCCCCAAGATTTAGTTTGCTTTCAGCCAGGGTGCTCTCATCTGTTTGGGTTTTTGAATTGATGGACCACCGTTCAAACGACCCACCTTCTTGGCGTTATATGGCAGCGACCAACGGTCGATTAGGCAGACGCATCATGGAAGCCGCCATTACCCGACCGTCATTCGTCTTCGCCTCATCATCTCGGCTTTCCGGCGTCTTCCTGCTTGTGTTGGCAAAAGTGATGTTCGCGCTTGGGTTTGACTGGCGAGCCGCCTGCTCGTTAACTTCTCTGTCAACAAGACCGTCTTTTTGTGGTTCACGTGGTATGAGGTTGTTTCTTTCCGTGTGGAGGGAGGAGAGACTGATACGAAATGTCGGGGCCAGGTGGGGAAAAATGACGGGAGATGAGAGTTGGTAGTTGACCCTCAATTATTGCACAGTACAATATTATAATTTCTTCTTAATTTCATTCATCCCGAGCTGAATTAGATTATGATGATCACTCTCCTTGACAGTTTTGGTCATTCATGAGAGCAAATCCCTTCTGCGCCGGCGGATCATCCCGTTAATTACGCTGTGATGAGGAGCGTGTATGATCGGGATTCTTTGATAAACAACTGTACAGGATTTTTGAAAATTGTATTGCTATTATCTTGAGTTTAGAGGCGTATTTGGAACCAAATTCATCTTATACTGAGGCAATTTATTTTCTACCTGATTCAGTATTGTATCCACTAGATGAGCAAATTTTTCTTTTCATGTCGGACGGGTGTGGCCTTAATTTGGAAAAATCTTTCGGGGGTTTCGTGAGCATGTGCTGAGAAAAAATATTTTTACGAATTGTCCGTGTTAACAAATTCAGAAATTCTGAGCATTTCCTGCATATGTAGGGCATTTGAAGGAAGAAACTTTTGAAAATAATCGAAAATTTTGGCTCGTTTTACTGATTTGCTGTTGTTCTTTGCTACATTGTGTTGAGATTTTTGAATACTTCACTGTCTAGTTATTCTCTTCTTCGGGATTACAAGAGATGTCTGTGAAAGCGAAATTTGACTTGTAATTCAGGAATTTTTCTTCCCCTGATTTTGCGGAAAGAATGTTTTGTGAGTAAGTTGCGAAAATTGCCCGTTATTTTTTCACTAAATGTTGGCCTTGATATATATCCTCAGCATACTTCATCGCATACATTTTCTTGCGAAATTTCCTTTCTTTGTAATTTTATCATGTACAGTATTATATTTTCTTCTTCCGTTAAGTTTATTTCTAACGAAGTTTTTTTTCTCATGACGCCGAAATTTCGGTTTGTTTTTGTTTTCAGTAGCGGTTAATTTACCCAGTCCA